AACATTTACTTGCAGACCTTTGTGATGCTGATCTGACAATGCCCTTCCACAACTCCCAAACTGCTTAACTTTGTGCCAACATATCATGATTTATATTGGGGCCTGTGTCAAGGTGCATTGGGCACGTGTGGCTGGTATCAGTTTGAGATGCGTCAGATCAGAGAACGCAGTTTAGAAATCGTAAAAGACTGGACTGTGGCACAAGTGTTGGGACTACAGAATCACTGCATTTGTTTCACTTCCAAGCTACATCAGGTCAACAAAAAGGAACAATTTGATCTAAGCAACAATATAAAACTTTACCTTTCCAGGATTCTGGTTCTATGCACAATTCTAAAACCAAAAATAGTACAGAAAAGTTCAATTCAGGACAAGACTGCTGAACAGTGGATACAAGATTAGTGGTGGCAAGTTTCTACATTCTAGTGATCAATACCTTGAAAACCTGGCCAGTAACCAGCTGCAGTTACAAGCCAAGTGGCAAGTGAACGCTTAAAAGCTCCAGCAATCTACGAAGCAAAACATGCCAATAATTTGGTCATCTGCTATAGTTCTACGGTTTCTAAAGACACTGGTCATAAAAAGCATCACAATTGTAATCTGTAGAAAATTCTGGGACACCAAAGATTGAGTTTAAGAGTGCAATAAATAGCAGACAACCATTGTTATGCTGACTTAGCGTAAACCTCATCACTGAACCACCTCTGTGTAAACATTGCTTAAACATAACTACAGGTGACCACAGACATGAGATGGGCAGTGTGTGCCTGACCATTAAACCTCTCATGTCCATGGCCAACGTTAACAAAGTTTAATACATGTACATTGATTGGCACCATAATATATTAGTTGGCACATTGGTATTGGTTGTGACTTTGTAAACATCTGATAGTGGTCCAGCTAAAGTGATGCACCCTAAACAATCTAGGCGGGTAGTGATGGCACTCATAAGGCAACCAGTGAGCATCAAGGAAGATTCTTTAAAACACTCTAGACATACAAAGAAATTAGAAAGGCTTTTCTGGTTTGGCACAAAGTGATAAAGATGAGGTTCAGTGTATGGTACACACGCCATAAGGTTATATAAAAACAGCTCTTCTGGAAATCGCAACACGTTCCATGACTGATGCAAACGGTCAGCAGTCAAACCCTTGACTAACAAAGGAATGTAGAGCTAAAAAAAAGACAGCCGGCAGGGATGCCATGCGTGAGATGTTTATACGGATATCGGCTGAAAGGATTTCCAGAAACTCGGGACCAACATTACCTTGCTTGGGCTCACTGGCAGCATGGCTCCTGGGATTGGACCAGTGTTGCTTTACAGACTATAGGCGCGTGGGCTTTGAGACGTGATATGGCAGAACCAGAACTTCTGACTTTGGCAGCCAACATATCATGATTTATATTGGGGCCTGTGTCAAGGTGCATTGGGCACGTGTGGCTGGTATCAGTTTGAGATGCGTCAGATCAGAGAACGCAGTTTAGAAATCGTAAAAGACTGGACTGTGGCACAAGTGTTGGGATTACAGAATCACTGCATTTGTTTCACTTCCAAGCTACATCAGGTCAACAAAAAGGAACAATTTGATCTAAGCAACAATATAAAACTTTACCTTTCCAGGATTCTGGTTCTATGCACAATTCTAAAACCAAAAATAGTACAGAAAAGTTCAATTCAGGACAAGACTGCTGAACAGTGGATACAAGATTAGTGGTGGCAAGTTTCTACATTCTAGTGATCAATACCTTGAAAACCTGGCCAGTAACCAGCTGCAGTTACATGCCAAGTGGCAAGTGAACGCTTAAAAGCTCCAGCAATCTACGAAGCAAAACATGCCAATAATTTGGTCATCTGCTATAGTTCTACGGTTTCTAAAGACACTGGTCATAAAAAGCATCACAATTGTAATCTGTAGAAAATTCTGGGACACCAAAGATTGAGTTTAAGAGTGCAATAAATAGCAGACAACCATTGTTATGCTGACTTAGCGTAAACCTCATCACTGAACCACCTCTGTGTAAACATTGCTTAAACATAACTACAGGTGACCACAGACATGAGATGGGCAGTGTGTGCCTGACCATTAAACCTCTCATGTCCATGGCCAACGTTAACAAAGTTTAATACATGTACATTGATTGGCACCATAATATATTAGTTGGCACATTGGTATTGGTTGTGACTTTGTAAACATCTGATAGTGGTCCAGCTAAAGTGATGCACCCTAAACAATCTAGTCGGGTAGTGATGGCACTCATAAGGCAACCAGTGAGCATCAAGGAAGATTCTTTAAGACAAGCCTCTAGACATACAAAGAAATTAGAAAGGCTTTTCTGGTTTGGCACAAAGTGATAAAGATGAGGTTCAGTGTATGGTACACACGCCATAAGGTTATATAAAAACAGCTCTTCTGGAAATCGCAACACGTTCCATGACCAATCCAAACGGTCAGCAGTCAAACCCTTGACTAACAAAGGAATGTAGAGCTAAAAAAAAGACAGCCGGCAGGGATGCCATGCGTGAGATGTTTATACGGATATCGGCTGAAAGGATTTCCAGAAACTCGGGACCAACATTACCTTGCTTGGGCTCACTGGCAGCATGGCTCCTGGGATTGGACCAGTGTTGCTTTACAGACTATAGGCGCGTGAGCTTTGAGACGTGATATGGCAGAACCAGAACTTCTGACTTTGGCAACAGGTTTCTGAAAGAGGATTAGTTAGTGACACTAAACTCGGGAGTTACACACAAAAAATGCACTAGAGCGCCCTCACTATTAAATGTATCCCATTTGTGCATCACTCATCTCCGAATCGGTGCCGACACTCCCCCCTCTCCGGAGGGGGGCCCCCCCTGTTCCCCATGGTCCCTGCATGTGCCGCACAGTAGTCACCGCTCCAAACTCACTCCCGTGATGGACCACAATCTCAATACAAATTAGAAAACTAAAACGTGAGACTGTAGTCCACCACGGGAGCGAGCCCGGTGGGTACCCTACAACACACACAGGGACCACGGGGAAGAAAAGCAGCCACCCCCCTGAAGGAAGGACAGTGTCAGCACCAATTCAGAGATGACCTGAGCATCTACAGCCGAGTGACACACAAACAAGATACATCTTGTTACTATTTAGGGCGCTTGAATGCATCTCCAAGATTTAACTCCCGAGTTTAGTGTCAAGACGACATTTTTCACAACATGCTCAATAGATCACCTCCGGTTTTAGTGCAGAGGCCAAAAAATAGAAGTGTGCGTCTGTAAAATGTAAAGGTTTGGAAACAATTTACGCAGTTCCGTATTTTAGCATTTGGCTGGCCAATTAGGACCCAGTGCTGCAGTTACATTTGCCACTGCTAGGCATATGTAGCCCTTTCCCCAATATCCCTTACTTTGCATCTACATGGTACCTGCAAACTTTCCTCATGCAGTGTATGGTGCCCATCCCACAGATACAGTCTCCACACCATCCAAATGGACAAGGGGTGGGTACAGGTGAGAACTTCAGGATGCAAGTCACACTCAGACCTAAAGCATGTTTGATGGAACGGTGTCAAGCACAAGTATAACTTTTGGCAGATTAAGAAGCTTTGCAAAAGTTGAATTTTAGTTGTGAGGTAATGTTCAGTATTGTGCTAGCACTGGAGTCATTTTGGCAGCACAAAGACTCAATTGTGTTACCTCATCTCTTATTTCAGTTATATTAAATATGAGCAATGCAGGCACACGTAGGGGGCAACACAAACGCCAAGTTCCACAAAAAGCTGCCAATTTAAATTCTATAGGATAGCACAAAATTTCTGTTTAAGGGTCAATCCACTCACAACTGAAAGTTGTTTTTGGTAGATGCTGGTGAGGCAAACCACTTGTAAGTATACGTCTCAGATCTCTGAATTTGAGGTTCTGGGTCTGCGCCACTGCTGTAGCATTATAAATAACGCAACAGGAGATGATAGGGACTGCAAAAGGTAGGCAGAAGAATCAGAAGTATGGCAGGTAGAGATGGCTTGTGGACCAAGACAAAGCTAGGAGCCAACGCTGCCATGACTCAATACAAGCCAAAATAAATTTAAAACGTTTTGGATACAGCAGAGAAGGTTCGAGCCCCTGTCAGGTTTTTATTAGGAGGTGATCTCCCCTTACTTCCTGCCAGGAGAGGAAGGGGCAATCTCTCCAAACAAAAAACTGTCAGTTTTAACCCTTTCAAATTGGTCCATGTTTCCATAGCTGTCCATGTCTTCCTGCACCGACCAGGACAATGGCACCCCTCTTTCCTTATACAGACATTCGTTAAAATCTTCCAGTGTGGGCTCTTTATAAACCATAACCAGCCGTTTTTATGAGACTTTAAACACCACTGTGGGTGCATTACATCAGTGTTTTCATGGCGTTTACCCAGCATTGTTGTTCCTTAACCTGATGGCGTTTACCCAGCATTGTTGTTCCTTAAATTCACACTGCATCAATGAACGTTTGTGGCAGTCAACTGACCATATGTAGAATGTTACAAAGCAGTCAAGTGTTAGGGTAAGTGACCGTTTTAGAAAAAGTATAAGACTTTACATCAATTCCCTTAAATATGATCAAGCGGACGTCCATTAGTAAGCTTGGATGGTTGATTACCACAGCTTTCTTGCAAAGGAAAAAAAAAAAAAAGAGAGGTAAATGAAAATCCAAAAGGAGAACATTTTATTTAACAAAACATCAGTAACAACAGTTTGTACCAAGAGTCGAGCATTAACATCATGAACCATCTTAGTTAATGTGCCTGATGGTGGAAACCGGACATATTTTACTTTCCCTCAGCATAACTGCAACCCAATATCTGGAATGTTATGTGTACAGACCTATAGGGAGTACAATGAAAATTCTCCGAAACTGCAGCAGACTAAGACAAAACAAATTCCCCAGAGATTGGCTCAGGACTCTCTTTGCTAAATCATGTGCAGTTCAGAGTTTAAAGTGAGATTTCTCAAATTCTATACCCGCAGGTATATGCTCACACCCAAATGCTCTTGTAGAACCTACTAGCAAGTGAGCAGGTATATAGGCATTTGACAAGAGGGCTCAGACATTCTTCCCCAAACACACACAGGACAGTTTTCACAATCTGCAGGACTCAGCGCTCGCTTCTGCAGCTCTAATTCTCTTCCTTTTTTGCTTCTTCTTTTGGCACTTCAGGGACCAGGATCACTTTACCAACATTTTTCTTCTCCTGCATCTGTCTCATGGCATCACCAACCTGCTCAAAAGGATATATGCTGTCAATCTTGGGCTTGATCTTCCCTTGCTTGTACATGTCAAGCAGTTTAACCACAACATCGGTGAGCAGCTCGGTTTCATTATCCAAGTGGCCCAGGTGGAAGCCACACACCGCTTTGTTCGATGGAATAAGCTGCATAGCATTTATGCTGATCTGGTTCCACCAAGTCTTTGCCAAGGCAGCAAGGTTCTTCTTTTGTCCAGTCAACATCTTGGCAGCTCCATAAATTACCAGTTTTCCCATAGGTTTCCGCAGGTTATAGGCTTTACAAGTGTCAGAACCTCCCAGGGGATCCATCACTATGTCTACACCTTTAGGGGAGATTTTCCGAAGTTCATCCACATAATCACTCGTCCTGTAGTCAATGGGATGAGTGACACCGTGTTCTTTAAGTGCTTCATGCTTGCAAGAAGAAGCGGTCCCAAATATTGTAATATCATCCACAGTTTTACAGAGCTGTGTTGCTGCAGTACCAACACCACCTGCTGCCATGTGGATAAGGACGCTTTGTTTTGGCCTCAGATTGCCAAAGTCAAACAGTATCATGTAGGCAGTTACATAGTTCACCAGCAAGGCTGCACCTTCTTCAAAGCTCATTCCGTCTGGCATGATAAATGTGTGGCTAGTCTGAACAGTAACCAGCTCTTGCCATAAACCAAATCTGTTGAGGACCATAACCTTATCTCCAACCTGTCTGTCTGTCACCCCCTCTCCCAGCTCCTCAACGATGCCGGAGCACTCCATACCCAGGGAGACTGGCAGGGATGGCAGGCGATCGTACACTCCTTGCCTGGCCATCAGATCGGCAAAGTTCAGTCCGCAGGCTTTGACCCCCATCAGCAGCATTCCGGCCACGCCCCCCGACCGGCAACCATACCTTGTGGTTTTGAGACCGTGGCAGTGCGAATGGGATTTGGACTTTGAGATGTAAGTGAAGCACACCCCTGGTGCATCTTACGTTGATAATTGGTATACATTGGGGTGTATAGTTATCATCTCAGTAGAATACAGTACATGTGCATATAGAGAGATGAGAAAGAAAGGAAGAATAATAGAAGGCAGGTATAAATATATTGGATAAGGAAAGGAAGTGGGAGAAGAACATAAGGAGTACAGATAAGGGGGATAGGTCAGAGGACAGTGGGGAAAAAAGAAAAAAAATTAACAAAGGGGGCAAGGTGGAAAACAACAAATGGGGGGTGGGGGTGGGGGGGGGGTAATAGAACACCCCTTCCAGCATGCCCATGTCTAGCCATAACAGGCTGCAGAATTAAATAATCGTAAGCTGTAAAGTAATATGTTCTTGCAGGTAATATACAGGTGAAACTCGAATAATTAGAATATCGTGCAAAAGTAATTGCAGTAAGTGCTGCAAAAGGGGCCCAAACCAATTACTGAGTACATATGCATGCTTGCACTTTTCAGAGGTCCGATATTGTTCTATGTACAATCCTTGTTTTATTGATTGCATGTAATAATCTACTTTTTTGAGGTTGTGGATTTGGGGTTCTTGGGGTTTTCATGAGCTGTAAGCCATAATCATCACAATTATGACAAATCACGGCTTGAATTATCTTGCTTTGCATGTAATGAGTCTATCTCATATATTAGTTTCACCTTTTAAGTTGCATTAGTGAAATAAATGAACTTTGCACGATATTCTAATTATTCGAGTTTCACCTGTATGTTACTGTTACGTTGTGATAGATAATAGGCAGTTGTGGTTTGTAAAAATGTGTTGTTGTGGCACGTTTGTCTTTTGTCTTTTTGTTTCTCTAACCTAACCAGGGCTGGATTTCTGATTCGCCAACTTATTTATAGTCTAGAACATCAGGACTGCCAGGGGCAGCACAAAAGACACCCACACATAATTTTTCTGATGATCACCAACACATTCCCATGTTTAATACCGTCAGTGCCCTCTGGCTGGATTCTTGTTATACAAGGGGTATAACCATGTTTAATATCTGCCTTTCATGTGAACGTATAATAAAATGCCTGATATATGTCATACATATGGTCTATCTCAATTATTGTGTGTTTCTGTTTTTGTGAATCACTGATGAGAGGCTGCAAAAAAAGAACGTTAATTGAATTTCTGACAAAAGAGTGTGATTCAGCTGTTGAGATCCATACACGCTTGAAGAATGTGTATGGTGATGCAGTAATTGACATGAGCAATGTTAGGCGGTGGGTAAAGAAGTTTAAAAAGTGAAGAACTGAAATTGTTAACAAGACATTGAATGGCGCCATTAAAGCTCTCCTCATCCAAAGAAATTCAAATCTACCAGATCATGACAACCATGTTCTGCGATGACCAAGGCATCATTCTCATGGACTTTAATAAGAAAGCCATCAGGAGAAATATATCCATGCCATACAGCTGCATCAGGTGATTGCCAAAATGTGCTGGTCAGCGGTTCCTCATCCACCTTACAGCCCAGATTGGGCACCATCTGACTTCTACCTGTTTGGGCCAATGAAGGATTACATCCATGGCATGAGATTTGAGGACCTGCAGAAAGATAAAACAGCGATAAAGCAGTGGAGCAAAGAGTGCTCTGTGGAATTTTTCCAAACCGGATTGGAGGCATGGCTAAAACTATGGTGCAAATGCATCAACTGTGATGGGGACTATGTGGAAGGGTAACCCTTAGTAGAGGAATGTAGAGGCTAACTGTATGTATACATGTGTTCATTGTTTCCATCTCTGTATAAAACATTCTATATCTCAGCAGGCATTACTTTTTGATACCTCCTCATAGCAGTCCTTACAGTTCACTCACGACGGGTCCATACACCTAGAATTTAATTGCTAGAAGAAAGACAGTTTTCCTGTCTTTTCTAGCTATGATTTCTCATTGTACTGACACAAAGTAGGCAAATTGGTTCTTTTAACCTCTCCCCCCCCCCAATATCAATCTGGTCCTGACATACTTACCGACACCATATCTTTTCTCCATGAGGTACATTGACAGCACAGGGGAAGCCAAATCATTATTATCTGAGAACTATAAAATAATTGGTACACATTTGAAGTAAACGTTAAACAGCAGCCTTTTGCAATATAGAATAAAGTAAGATTGACATGCAGTAGTCTTTTTATAGGCTTTATTGATTATTTTTTTGGTTTATTGCTTCCAGCTTGATAATTATTTTTTTTTTGTGATCCATCAAATTAAATATTTTGTATTACAAGTACAATAAACCGTTAAAAAGAAAAGAAAAATGTTTAAAATGGTCTATGCAATTACAGTATGAAACATACAATTTAAAAAGAAGTAAAAGGTTTCAAATGTATATTGTAAAGCGCTGCACAAACTGTTGGCGCTATATAAATCCTGTATAATAATAATAATAATAATAATATACTTAATGTGACTCCCACTTGGATGATGTAGAGCTTTGCTTAAAATTGTAATGATCAAATAGTTTTTCTGTGGTCATAATATGCAATTTTATATGTGTTTTCAGCATCATTTAACACTTCCTTCAGTAATCATTGTAACACAAAGAAAGCTTTTAAATTATTTCAAATTACTTGACCCAAACCATCATGCTTAGAAAAGTGAAATATTACTTCCTAGTACTTATTTGTGTCTGGATGTAGCGTTTGTGGTGAGCTAAAATGGTATAATTTACTTTAAAGTGATACAACAGGAATGTTTATTTATTAATGGTATATTACAATGTAATGTCAATAGCTAATGGCATATTACAGTCAAACTTCTTGGCCCCTTAGTTGACAAGACCTGACATTCTGTAATACTTAAAGCTCAATTGAACCTTTGTTTTAAATCAGCTAAATACATTCCAGGTGCATCACCTAGGAATATACTTCATCCCCAAGTATCTAAATTATCGAGTGCTAATTTTATCCCACTGTTCCCGAGAATATAAAATACTTTTTCCAATTGCCCCGGATGGGCAAAATAACTAAAATCAACTTAATTAAAATGACTCTCCTACCTAAACTGGCCTACCATTATGAAACCCCACCAATCAAATTCCCTCTAAAAGAACTCAAAACTTTACAAAAAGACATTTTGAACTTCACTTGGAACAACAACAAACATAAGTTAGTCAGGCAGTTTCTTCCAACTTCAAAGTCTCAAAGGAGCCTCTTGGCTTCCCAGACATCATTAAATATTACCTAGCTGCCTACTTATGCCACTTGACCACCTGGTCTACCCTATACCCTCCTAACTGGCTGGATTACTCCCTCTTCCGATCCAGGGATATTATCCATTAGAAAACTAGGAGCCTTCCTAGGATCCTTGCTCAAATAATACCCTTGTGGGGAATCGTCAAATTCTATTTAAACACTTTTTTATTGGGCAAAACCCCTCCTCTTGAACTAAACCCCTTCATCCTGGGCATCCCGCATTTACTACATCCACAACATGAAATATCTTACACAATTATACCAAAACCTGGTCCCCATGGGAATTTTTGATGACTACTTACCAATACTTTTTTCTGCAGTAGCTTCTGTCTCCCACTGCTACCAATGACGTATACCCACTGACTAGACTGAACATTGTACAGGAGTCTCAGGTGCACTCAAACGTCCCTTTTCCCTCCGACCATCATCTAGACCTGGTTACCAGTTTTGTTGCACACATTACCGATATAATTGTTTGTTTTTTTCAAGGATATAAATTTAGCTTTGTACTCCAGCAATGCTCACCGTTAGAATACATACTCCTGGTATTTACCTCAATATGTACAGCAAGACAGTAAGACTTTGCATAGGTTTTGTTTGGATATAATTGGTATTTATCTAATTTAAACAGTAAGTTGTATTGTGTTTTAAAGCCCAACTCCAACCAAAACCTTTTCTAAATAGTGGGGTTAGAATTTCTGATGGTTTTTTATGGGTGGTTCTGTCCTTGTGTATTTTTTTAGTTACCAGGATAAGAAGCCTAGGCAAAATCAATAAAACTCAGAGGTTCTAAACTGTCCCTACTTTATTGAACCCCCCAAAAAAGGTTTGGGCTGGATTATTATACATTGTATATAAACCCAAGAAGAAACTGAAGATGTGGTGGCTACATTTTTTATCTTCTTGTTTTTACCTCGTGTATGCTGCCAGTAACATACTTGCTCTCACTGTACTGTATGAGTCACCCTAGGACAAGAAGTGTACAGAATACCCCCCTCTTCTTTTTCCTAACATAGAGGGGATGTGTCCTGTAATCCACACAGATAGCTAGAAACAATGATAACTGTTAACAGCAAATAAAGGCTGAGGACAAGGCTCAAAAGATTTTTGTCAGGATCAACGTTTTCTGTTTTTTTTTTGCAATTATCAAACAGATATAACAAAATGTTTTCAACAGTATATTTAACAGGCCAAAAGAGAGCAAATAAGGGAAGTTCAGTGTTAGGGTTTAAATACTCTTACATTTCTAATTTTATTTCTGTTATTTTTAACTTAGATTTTATTTCCGAAGTCTAGCCAGTTTCCAGAGAGTCATTAATATGTCTTTTTTTTGCCTAAACCATGTTATCCATTAACAAAAGATTTATTACTTTTACGTCAGGAATGCAGCTCGGTTACCCATCTACACCAAACGGTCAGGGATATCTACATGCCATAAATCAAGTCTACATTCCAAATTTCGACTATTATGGATGGTGTTGTGATTGTTCTTATAGTGACACTGACTAGTAAGGTTGGGATGGCTGCTGGAGAAGATCTATTCTCCAAGGTTGAATTCTAACTGAAACTTGAAAGCATTGTGATCTATACAAGTTTAGCCAGACAGCAAATTGGCATATCAGAGTGTGGATATCGTCCTATCAGAGTGTGGATATTGAGCTGGAGTTTTTTTGTGATATAGCTTCAGACACATCATCAACAAATATTACATTTAAAGTAATTCTAGAGATATATAGAAAAAACAATTGTAACATTTTCAAAGGACTGTTATTTAGTCTGGCATGCATAGGTCACTTTAAGGTTAACTAGTGCTAAGAGAAAAATGGGTATATGGTAGTCGTATTAGCCTCGGGCTGACCATCACTCTCTTTAAGTCTGCTCACAACTGGTTTCCCACCTCGCACAGAGCTTAGCTTCTAATACATAAGTTCTGACCCTTTTATCACAAAGTAATTTTTCCATTTTTAAACACCTTTTAAAATGCACACTATTGACTCACAAATTTATTACAAACCACCCAGATTATATATTTTCCAGACACAGGGGACCTGTAACATAAACAGGCTTTTTTTCTATATTGTGGTTTTGAGCATTATATATGCCTGTTGCGGAGAGCTGTATATATGGTATATGGATGCTATGTGTGTGCGGTGGGATGGGGTGATGTTCAATAGAACTGTACATGTATCTGTTGTCATGTATGTGTGTATGCGGGGTGGTTTGAAGAGAGCTGTATATATGTATGGCTGTCTTGGGGGTTGGCGAACATGCATCAGATCAAATCCTCAATGTTGCAGACTCATAACATTTTGGAGCTGACTTCTAGATTCTAAAATTGGTACAGGCCTGACCTGATTGGTACAATGATTACCTTAGCGAGCTGATATTGATCTTAGAGTTGATGCTGGACAGTTTGGTTGTGGATGGCATTTAGTCATAGCAGCACAAAAAATGTGACACATAACATTCTGTATCCCTTACATTTTATAATATAACAATTCCCAAGCATGAAAATACCTCTTCAAAGTGTTTCAAGCTTTAGGCAAAAAGCAGATATTTTTATTGCATACATTTTTTTACTGTTCAATAGTTTTTTATTAGCAATGGTAAACAAAGAATTTCCACAAACAAAGTTTAGGTGTAAATGCAGTTGTACAATAACTCGGAATAAAAGGAGTGTAAGGTACAAGTTGTACATTCAACATTAGTTACAGTTACATTAGTGGCACCTTTTCAGAGTGGGCTAGTGTAATGAGCGGTGTGCCTCGGGGTTCTGTGCTGGGTCCCATATTGTTCAACTTATTTATTAATGACATCAGGGAGGGTGTTAACAGCGATATTTCCGTGTTTGCGGATGACACCAAAAACAGAAATAAGAACTAACAAAGGTCATTGATTCATATGTTATAGAATGGTTCTTAAAGAGTGTCAAACATACAGTCCTGAGATATTATAGTAGGAATAGGAAGAAAGAGACATTGGTTTGGGAGAGGACTCATACATTTTTAAAAATACATGTGAACCAATGTCGACTACAAAGTGGGGTATGTTATGGACATTTTTTATATTGTTTAGTGTAATACCCTACTCAAGTGCACCTTTCCCGTGCTAGTTATATATTTATTTGAGCAGACATTGTTTGCTTTCCTGCATTCTATTTT